CTATGCTTCTTTTCTATTAAATTATTGAATATTTAGTTCTTGCATTGCCTCCTCCTAATTTCTTGCCTGCAGATACTTTGCTGGGTAAGCCTTGATAAATTGAGCCTATTTTTACTGTATTTCTGTGGTGTTGGCTTTTATAGTAATCAAAGTTCCCTTTTTATATGTGCCACATGTACATCTTTTTTTTATTTTTAATTTTTTCTCAGAGACAGGATCTCTCTGTTACAAAGGCGGGAGTGCAGTGACATGATCAGATAGCTCACTGCAGCCTCAAACTGCTGGGCACAAGGGATCCTCCTGCCTCAGCCTCTCAAGTAGCTGGGACTACAGGTGTGCACCACCACACCCAGTGAACTTTTACATTATTTTGTAGAGATGGGATCTGGCTATGTTACCCAGGCTGGTCTCAAACTGCTGGACTCAAGTGATCTTCCCGAAGTGCTGGGATAATAGACATGAGCCACTACACATGGCCTTATTCTTCATTTAGATTAGAATCTAATCAAGGGAAGAGACTGCCAATTTTGCTTTCACTTTGATGTCTATTTTATACAACCCTAGAAAAATCTATCATTTCATGAGTTGGAAGTGACACTATGTTGGAGACATATGTAATTGGTTACCCTTTGATCATTCGTAGGCAACTGCACCCAAATAATTCTTTCCCCCTCAATCAAGAAAGTTTGGTGTTTATCCAAGAGCTTAGTACAGTGCCTGGCACATATGAGGTGCACAACAAACTTTTTAAAAATGAATGCATCTGAGTGGCTTTATAATTCAGCAGTTACTACATAAACTTACTGTGCAGAAAAAAAAAAATATTAGTTCCCAAAGAGGGGAAGAATAGAACATTCTTCTGAAAAATATAAAACTTTTCTTGTCCAATTGAGCCTCTCTAATATTTGTAGATAATTGGAAGCCTTTTTCACTCTTATATTTAAGGGTGTCATTATGTACTGGTGCATTTGTTGTTTCAATGAATAGAATTATATTTGCAGGGAACTTAAAAGTTTCCAGAAAATTTCCTGTGATTTTATCTAATTAATCCCCACAAGCCTATGAGGTGGGTTGTGGAGATAATGTTATCTCCACTTTGCAGAGAAGCAAGCAGCCGGTAGAGGGGAAAAGAGAAGGGACTTTCTAATACCATGGAGCTTGTATATCTGACATAGTGAGGAAAGTAGAACTTATTTCTTCTGATGAACAGTTCAGGGCTTTTTCTACTGTATAAATCCTTAATCTCTAGGAAACAACCTGTCTTAACTCCCTTACCCTTGCATCAAAGCAGCAAAAGTTATACAGGTGTGCCAGCTTAGATTCTGAATCTGAATATTTCAGCACCATCTATCTTACCTACCTCTACTCTTCACTTTTATTAATATTTCTGAAGTGCTCTGCCTGTAGGAGCTGACTCTTCCTTCTTCCCAATTAACTTGTATGTGAAAACTCCTGTGGTAATGAAATTGCACGTGTGAGTGTCCTCTCTTCTGGCCTTCTTTTTAGTGTACCTGGAGGGAGAATGCTTTTTTGCTGTTTCATTGCATTATCTTTGCTGAGGGAGGAACTTCTAGGAATTAAGAAAACTGCCTTTCTGAGAGTAAATCTTTTTATCAAAACTTCTTTGGTTTAGGTACAGCTTTGATATTTGCAGAGGTTACCATTTGTTGATAATTACAATGCATTGGTTCATGCCATCAGCATCAAAGCAGTGTGGCAGAGCAGACAAAAACATGGACGTTACAGGCAGACAAATCACATTGCAATCCTTGTTCTGCTATTTCCTGGGCGATTTACTTCACTTCTTGGAGCTGATTTCCTCTTTTGTGCAGTGGGGATAATAGATTAATAATATCTACCTCATAGATTATTGGAAGGATTAAAGATAAATGGTAGATCTTTTTGGGATGAATGATATGGCAGAAAAATGCAATCCTCTCCATAGACTACAGAGCAAATTTGTGTGGCACATCTTCCATTTCCCATCCATTTCCACTCTCCTCCCTGCCCTCCCCTAGGAGGCCTTTCGCCCTGGAAGACTGACCAGTGAGATGCACATCATTCTCCTTTGCCCTCCAGCTCAGTTGCATTTGGCCAGTGGGGAGTCCTGGCAGGATATCAGACGGAGCGAGGAAGATGAGGTTGTGTGTATCTCCTCATCACCTTGCTTTCAAAGTCACCTGAGGCTAACTGTGTCCCAGAGAGCAACCTCCCTTTTCAAGGCAGCCCACTCTATATGACTCTCTCCTCTTAGGCATTGGCAACCTCGGCTTGTCCCTTTGGGTCTAGTGGGGTAAAAACTCCACCATTGCTATTATAGCTCCAGGTACTGTACCATTCTTTGTGGATTCCTCTACCCTGCCCACATCTTCTTAGTCTTTTTATTAAACCCTCCTTAAATGATCCTAATATGAGTATGCTGTCTGTTTATTCCTGGGACCCTAACAGATACATTATTCATACTACTTAGTAGAAAGTGTGTTTGCCTAAGTATGTTTTATTTGATGGAGTTTAGCACTTTTAGAAGAAAAAATAAGAATAGTTGTTACTTGCCACTTGATACTAAGAGAAGAAAAAGGTAGTAATGATGATGATGGATGTTGTGAGTCAAGCATCTCCTATGTGCCAAGTATTCTCCTAGATACTACTTTATCTATGTACATTACCTCAATTAAGCTTAAAACACACATGTGTATTATTATCTCCCTTTTGCAGATCTGGAAAAAGCTGAGAGAGGTCAAATAAGTTACCTAAAGCTACACAGAATATCAGTGGAGAGCTGAAATGCTAACCTATGCCCATTTGGTTCCAAGGTCCATACTCTTTTAGGGAGGCCAGGCTGCCTCCTGGGTACACAGGCTGGGAAAGGCCATCCCATTAGCAGCCAGTTTTCAATTAAATCCATTTGCCTGTTCAAATTTCTATAGGTTCTAAATTCCTATGGGAGAGTATCTCTTAATGGTGCTCTTCAAATGATTTCAAGGCAAATTTGTTGAAAACCTGATTAATTCAGCAAACTTTATTAGGTCAAATCCATTATTTGTCTGATTTGACTGATTTGTTACCATTGAGTCAGTAGCCAATGAAGGGCAACTATTCCATGGTTATTCCTAAAGCTATTTGTTAAATACTAAATGAATAATTAAATATTTTGAATGAGTTTTTCTCTGATAATGTGTAAGCTTCCTATAGCAGTTATCTAAGGAATTTTTTCTCCCTAAGTGCAGTGTATTTAGTTCACAGTTTATATTATTTCTGTCTACTTCTTAAATTAAATGAATGACATAATTCCACATTTTCTAAGACCTATAAAATGCTCAGCATTATAACTAATCTGTAAAGGTGACTGAATTTCTGGAGGTGTACCAGCTAAGAACTTTCCATTTGTGAATAAGCTCCTCTCTCCAAATGCTACTCTCTTAAAAAAAAAAAAAAATCCATACACATTCAAAGAAACTGTATTTATCCCAGCAACTCACATTTGATTGTGCATTTTTCTTTACCCTTCAGGCAAGCATTTCCATCAACTTTGGAAGAAGGTTTTGTCCCTCAGTTCCCTCTGGGTCCCCAAGTTGCTTCTTGAGACATTCCTTAGTGATAATAAACTTCATTTCTCTGTTTCTAGCTCCACCTCGCTGTTGTGGGACCTCTGGCCTCCCTAAAACTATTTTCCTTTTATTTTTAGAAATCTTGAGGGGCTGACTCACATATATCCCAAAGAAGTCTTTTCAGCCTTGAGGAAATGCCGTTGCAGATTGCTGGAGAGCTTGGTGAAGGTCCCTCTCCACTCGTGTAAGGGCCCTGGGTTCTGCTGCCGGTAGCTGGCCTCTTACTGGGCCAGCTGTCAGCTGATACTGTGTTCCCTGCAGGCTTTACCGATTTTGTATGTTTTTTTTCAAAAGTGTATATAGTTATTTTGTTTTATTTATTTTTAAAATGTATAATTCACAGTACTTTGTACTTTGATATTTTTCAATCATTTTAGCAAAACCAGCTCCTATAGCCCTTGATCACTGTTACTCTTTTCCCTAAACTTCAGACACAAGTTTTCTGAGAAACTTAGAACAAACCCAAATGATAGAACTACGTGTTGTTGTTAGCATCCGCCTACACCTACAATGTCAGAGTTTTGTGTTTTGGTTAAGCTTGTTGCCTAATCCCCTTCCCCTGATGGTAAGTTCTTTTTCAAAAGGCATTTCAGCCCACATGCAAATATACCTTATGAATATGCAAGTGATCCCCACATGTGGCAGAATATCAGAAATGAACACAACACATATAGTTACTCGATTTGTTCTTTCCTCAAAACTCAAAACAGAGAATCTCCTTTCTAGTGTCTAGTAGAAAGTGAAAGTTAGGTAATGAGGTTATTGATATCATCTAAGTGGCAATTACTCTGGAATAGTCTGTGAAATGACTGTGATTGCTTAACGAGGTAAACTGTTTGCCTTCCCCTTCTCTCAAGCATTCCTTGTAACCTCTTTGAACTAAAAGTAGGAGAGCTCACTAAATTTACTTACAAGTCGCTGGATTGGCTCCGGCGTACTATGTATTATTACTAATGAAACAAGAAGCCAAGGTGCAGTGCTCAGAGGGCTCCTTCCTTCAGATACAGATATGATTCCCCCAGTGGTAAAGCTACCTTAGTGAAAAATTGAGGGGTCCGTAGTCAGAATCAACATATATACAATTCAGTTTGCATCATTTCATACATGTAACTTAAGGTTATGGCTACCATACCTATTTTTTTTTTCAGCCACTAAAAATGTAGACTTGAATATTTAATGGAAGACAGATGGCGCTTGAAATCTCTAACTTACATTTAACAAAAGTCGTTTTGGAAATGTTGCTCATGTTTACTTTTATTGCTTTAAACACAGTACCATTTTAGCCTGTTCTGGTGAATTATTTAAGAATTACTGTCCTAGTCTAAGACAGCATTTCAAAGTGCACGTGTTAATCATATACTTGATTAAACATTTCCTTTCCTTTCTTTTCAGCATTCCAGTTGGCTTTTGAGTGGATAATTGTTGCAGTGACAGCATTGACGTTGGAAGCAACTAGTGCCCGTTTGAATTACATAAAACGCCACGATGAAAAAAAATACCTGTGATTCGCTTTCTCGGAGCAAAAGTGTAAGTACCTCTTGTTTTCCTTTCTTTTCTAAAAACGTGTACGTATAACTTTTTACTGTTTACTTTGGATTTTAACACTGTGGTATCATGATTAGGCTTGTGAGAAACCTTTGGTTGACTTTCAGCTCTCTGGCTATACGCAGCTTGTTAACAAATGAAGACTTGTCTCTATGGCCTGGTTGGCATTTGATGAGAGTTCTCTTTCAGCCAGTTTACACGCTTTATCATTCCTTCATATAAACCTACTGGCATGACATTAAACTCCCCGATTTTTTAATGCATACAGAAAATATCTGACTAAAAGATGAAATTGGACAAATTTATGCCTTGAATATGAAACTTTCTGGGCAAGTCCAAAAACATAAATTGAACTTATGTCATTAGGTACTTTAACTGGTCACATTCTGAAAGTTCATCCCTTCCACAAGTTTTCTACCCTGGCATATGTCTATAATCTCCCCTTTAATCTTCCTTTTAAACATTTTTAAGTGAACATCCTCAGAGCCCTGATGAAGCCTTCTTTCCAGTTACTTAGCATTCTTAAGGTACCAAATTCATGAAAATTTTTAGATTTCGATTAACTTATGAAAGAAAGCATAATCAAATGGAGCAACTCAAAGGAAGCTACAAAAGGCAAGGACGAAAGCAGACTGTTAATTTCCATCAGGCGAGCTCTGAAAACAAGTCCCTTTGTTCATTTACTCAAAGGAGAAAAGGCATCCAAACAGATGTAGTTTTGACGTAGGAACATTCATTTGAAGGCATCAAAAAAAAACCACAAATGCAAACACATTTCTCTAGTATGGAAATGCTTTGTGTTACAACCAGTGATTCTATTGTGATGATCCAAGGCCATTTTCATTCTTTCTATAGAATTACCATTCAGCTTTTAAGGGTGGGACATGAATATGTACAGAGGAAAGTATAGTATGCCCAATAGGGTTTCTTAAAATATGAGGATATGCTGAGAGGTATCCCCATACTTGGACTGAGTACTATGTTTTATAACCAATCAAATAAATTCAACAAACTCTGAGGAAATTCTCAAATTCATTTGTTTTACTGGTTGGTGTTTGGTTGTGGAGATAATTGTGTAAAATAAAGGGCCCTGGCTTTTAGCCTGGAATTCCGTTTATCACCTTACAAAGTCGCTCATTGTCATAGGAAGTGACCTGCATACAAATTACCAAACTGTAAATACATTTTTCTGTTACTGAGTTTTCTTATTATAAATTACATATAAAAACAAACTATTATAGAATGTTTCCTTCTTTTACTGAATTTCTGAGACATGTGATATGAGAAAAAAATGTGTAAAGGCAAAAGGGAGAATATTTTGGATAATTAAAAATGTATCATTAAACATTCCCCTGTTCTTGGAGGAAAACATTCTAAAAGCAAATGATTAACTGAGAGGTAACTTTAAGGAACTGCACGTACTTCATGATGCTAGGAGATTTCCTATTTGCATTTGTTTAATGCAAAATTTTTCATCTAGGTGGAGAGGCTCAAGCTTCCATATTAAGAGAACCTGAGTTGCTTACATTTGTCCAAATGTAAACATTACAGCTCTCATTTCACTGCTTCCCAGCTTCTCGAAAATCCAATGGCATAAAGAAAGTACTTTCTCTTAATTAAATGACTCTGAACAGGAGTTACTGTTTATCAGAAAAAAAAGAGCCAGATTTTTTGCCTAGTTAGAAGTTGTCACTTTAAGTCTTCAAAAATTTATTTTGCACAGGTCTAAGCATGCCACCCCCTACCACTTAAGTCTTTGCCAATAACAGAATCCAAAATTGTACAGTTAGAAGTAGACGTTTCCTGTTCTTGATGAAGAAAATTTAAAGAATTAATTTTATTTAGAATCTGAGGATGTTTTTCTTTGGCATTATGACATTTGAAAATTCAAAGAGAATATTCTAAATGTTAAAACAGTTTCTGTTCCTCCCTACATGCCTCTCTGTAGGTCTTGTATCTGTCATTGTGAAAATTTAAGTCCTATAAAGAAGTAGGAGAAAAAGACCATATTTATTTTTTTTTTAATTTTTAAAATTTTTAAAATTTTTAATTATTATGGGTACGTAACAGTTGCAGATCTTTATAGCATGCATGTCGTGTTTTGATGCAAGCATACATTGCGAATTAATCAAATCAGGGTAATTGGGGCATCTATCACCTCAGGCATTTATTATTTTTTTGTGTTAGGATCATTTCAATTCCATTCTTTTAGTTATTTCAAAGTATACCCTAACATTGTTGAATATAGTCACTTTGTGGTGCTATGAAATATTGTTCATTTTATCTAACTATATTTTTGCACCCATTAACAATCCCCACTTTATCCACCCCTCTCCCTGCTACCCTTCCCAGCAACCATCTTTCTACTCTCTGAAAAAGACCATCTTTAAACAATTATCTTATTTAGTGAATTCTCCTTGGGAGAGGGGTTCCAGTGTAGCTTGCAAGATCATTTAGCCGATCTCCATCTCATGTAAAAAATTCAGGCATAAGATGGATGGATAAAATAGGGGAGAGTTCTGTTTCCTTTGAGTTACAAGTTTCTATGATTCTAGGTCATTTTGTACTCATTCATAAATTGAATTGAAGACCAATTCCCAAATAAATATAAAACAAAGGCCTTGGGGCAAAGGAGAGTATATTAGTCAGCTTGGGCTACCATAGCAAAATACCATAGACTAGGTAGCTTAAACAGAAATTTACTTTATCACAGTTCTGGAAGGCAGGGAGTCCAAGATCAAGGTGCCAGCGAATTCAGTTCCTGGAAAGGACTGATTAGAAGGCTTGCTGATGGCTTGCAGCAATCACCTTCTCACTGGGTCCTCACATGGCAGAAAGAGAAAGCAAACTCTCTGGAACCTCTTCTTATAAGATCACCAATCCCATCATGAGGACCCTACCTTCATGATCTCATTTAACCCTAACTACCTCCCAAAGGCCCCACCTCCAAATACTGTCACATTGGAGATTGGGGCTTCAAAATATGAATTTTGGAAGGGACACAAACAATCCATAACAGAGAGTTTGATATTCTTAAGGGATGATTTTATTAAGTCCCTTTGATATTTAAGCCCAAAAGGTGGTGACCAGTATTCTAGAATCTGCATATTCTCTCAATTAGGTAACACTGAAAATGATCTGGTTAACATCTTTCTGTTCATTTCACATCTTCTAGATTTTATGTTAAAGGAACTCTTAATGATGATTTTTGAGGCTCTAATCTCTTCATAGACCTAGGGGCTAATTTTAATTTTACTCAAAACTATTTTCTTCTTCCTTCACTATTCTTAGTTTGTTCTTAACATTCAATCCAATGACACAAATCTCTGAAGTACCTTGTCCTATGTATGGACTCACCAACTGAGACAACTTTTTGGAAGTTTGTAAGTTTCAGCCCTGACTATCTGAGACACCCTCATTCCCTCTACAAATGCCCACTGTCCCATTGCTTTTTGGCTCATCAGTAGAGGAAAGGAAAGGTACAGACAAGAGGACGAATGTAAAAATTTCTATAGTAATAGTGTATTTTAAAAATTGGGGCTACTTAAAATTTTTTTCAAGTAACTTTCCTTACGATGTCTCTGTTGTTAAATCTTCTCATCTGGAGAATGAACTGGATACATTTTAATTCTTCTTCATTAATAATTCTCTTGTGTATTGAATTCTAAAGTATTTTGTAGTCTTTTGTATTAAATTCCCAGTTTCCCAGTGTACTGAATCATTTTCTTCCTACGAGTTTGGAGAGATTCAAGATACTGTCTACTCAATTGAATTTGTTATTTTCTTGATGAAATTGCCCTGTATTTGACATAGAATTCTTATGGATGTTCTACATTTGGATAAATTTGTCACTCACCAGATGTCTTTAATCAATGTTCCCTGTTCTTTTTTGATAGAATTGTTATTTAGTGTTTATTCAAAACTGGAAGCAAGTCCTGGCTGTTTGGAGGGCACAGGATATCTGGCAAATTCTTTGCATGTTAAATATAAAGCCCACCTAAATAGGCTGCCAGTTTTGAATCCAGGAGCTAGGAGCCCATCTGGTGAAATATTTCCAGCAGGCTCCCTAGACTTGCTTCTTTTCACACAAGACTTATTTAATGTCCAAAGTTTGTAAACCAAATTTATCTTATTCTTTAAAAAAGTAAATATTTGCAGTTGTACCTTTACAGTGCTGAGTTTTTATAAGGAATCACTCTCCTAATAACCCAGGGTGAGTAATTTGTGCCGTTTCATCTGCATTTCATTGCCTGCCTGGAGAGGGCAGACCAAGAAGGAATTTGGAAGGGATGATACGTTTTGTTACGGCACTTCAGAGCTATCTGCAGTAAGAGAGACTATTTTTGGTTTTATGGTTAAAGTAAAAATAATGAATCGCTTCCCAGACCAGCCTCATTTCGCTACTATATCCATCACCACCTAAGCTACAAGAGTGACAAAGTTGTCAAAACTGGGAATCCTGATAAAGTTAGGCATGTAGAAACTGGATTTTTTACTTGTGTTCATTCAGAAGGGTCCAAAGGTCAGAGGAGATACTGTAGGTAGAGATACTTTCAAAAGCACAAAGTACAAAGCAAAACTAAAATGTTCTTGTGCCTTTATTAGCAACATACTGAAATGAGAACTTCTATAGTTTTAGAGATTTCCCTCGTTTGGTCATTATACCTGCCTTCAAGCTCATGCTCTTTCCTTACAAAATTCGACAAATATTTATTGAATGGCTACTGTGTGTTAGGCTCTGGACATCCAATGTGGATAAAATACATGTCAACTCTACCCTCCTAGAGCATATTTGACAACTAAATTTATAATTTTTATAATTTATTAAAATTTTTTCACCACCCTGTGACCCTAACCTAACTTGATCACCCAAGTCCATCCCATTTTAATCTTTAATTCTTCTTCACAGGAAGACTGAAGTCTTGTCTCTTGAATTTCTATGTACTTGTACTTCATCACATTGTGGGTATCCTATTTGGTAG